CAATGTGGGCACCAGCCACTTGATTAGCTGCCCCCTAGGGTCCATATTCCTTAGGAAATGCAAGAGAAAGAGATAATATTTTTGGAAATGACAAAAATAATGATTTTCATGAAGGAAGCCAAAGAAAATTAGAAATAGTTATTAATTCAGGGAGAGTACATGCCTATCATTTAGAAATGACTGTTGTAATAAGCACTCACAGTAGCTCTTTACACATGGCACATTTGTTGTTGTATGATTTCCCGTCAGCACCACGTACAGGATCACTCTCCCGAGTGCAGCTGAGTTTTCCATTTTGCATATGATCCCGATACTCAGCACATGGATCCTAATAAGGGAAAAGAAAGCAGGCCTCCTGAATTGGTTAGAYTATTGAATTATCATTAAATTTGTTAAACAACCTGAGAAAAGTTCTTGCATATTTAAATTGCATATGCAATTTAAAAGCATAGATCAAAGATGGGCAAACTATAGTCCACAGACAAAATATGTCCTGCTGCCTGCTCCTACATGTATAGTTTCATCAAAGCACATCATTGATCCTTTTTTAAGCCTTTATTTGTGGTTCCTTTCCAACAATAATGACAGAGTTGCAGAGTTACAACAGACACCATATAACCCACATGCCTAAAATATTTAYTAACTGGCCTTTTACAGAAAACATGAGCTGACTTCTCTTGTGAGTAGAAAGGAGAGAAAAATGCTGGGGGTAAGTGCAAAGTTACATAAATTATCAAAAAAGCTAGCTTGTTCAAATTACAGAGAAGGCAGATAAAACATATGTACAGGTGTACTTGAGAGTGAGAATTTAGCCTCCTCAAGCAGAAGAGATTGAAAAAGCAGAAAGGACAGATTTCATTAAAGGTAAAAATATGGACATGTTTTAGATTTAGAAACAAAGAAATGATCTTGAGATTCCAAGGTCATAAGAAGATAAATAAGGTGGCTGTAGTCTTAGCAGGTTGTATTGACAGGCCTGAGGAGTTGCTTTATATGCAATATTGTCATGCTGACACTTAAAAATGTTTCAGAAGATGTGCTAAATGCATGCCTAAATTATTTTATCTCTGTAAGAGTACTGCTAGACAAGGGAGACAAATGATGCATTCAGTGTTTCACAGGTCCAAGTGGTAGTGAGCAGGTCTGTATCCCAAACTCTTAGACTCCAAAGCCTGTGCTCTTTCACCATGTGATGCTGCCTTGGGCCAGTAGAAAAGATGCCTCAGGACTTGGATCCATCCAGGGTAAGAAAAAATAATGAAAGAAGATGCAGAGCGTGTGAAAGAAGATGCAGAGCGTGTGAAAGATATGCTGACAGAAGCACTAGGTCACTAGAACATGGGGGAGAAAAATGGGATAAGGTCTTCATGTGGCTAATTACTTCCATGTTTAGAGAATTCAAAAGGAGCCCTAGAGAAGCTGTGATGGCTGACATCTTACCCTGCATCCTTCAGGAGACATACTCTGCTCCTCCAAGCACCCTTTCTGACTCATTACTCCCTATATTCTCCTTTGGTTCAGGACCTATCATTGTCCCGCTGCCCACAGTCCATCCCCTGCTTATGTCATTAGAGGTGGCTCTTACCTGAGCTTTCCCTCCTCCACCATTAGAACCTTGTCCTGCAGAATTTCTCTGATCATCCTCTTCTTTCTTCTTTCTTTCTTCATTTTCCTTCTTGCTGGAAATTAGAAAATGGAAGATAGCAAGAAACGGTTTCCAGAACACAGAGCATATTTCTATGAGCTTCTCATCACATGACCAAGTTATATTTGTGTAGTGTCTACCTGCACTTACTTAACATCTACTATGTTACAGACCCCCTTGTCCAAAAATAAAAGGGATGAATTGGGTGGAGTCCTTTGCCTGAAAAGCTTTCATACAGTACAGAAAACCAACATACACATAATCACAAACCAGGCAAGGTGAGCCATTAATTAGTATTTCCTAAGTGTTAACTAGGGATTTCCAGCTGTATTTCTTATAAATACCTCATGTTTAAGAGGCCTTCCCCCCCCTGCCCCCACACAAAATAATTAGCTTCTCTACCAAGCATTACCATCCTCTTGGATTCTCTGCTTTTCTGGAAGAACAAAGTATTGGAATCTCCTCTGAGGGCTCCTCTCTCAGCTGGTATAGCTGTGGCCACATAACCTTGAATTCACCTTCACATTCTTCCCCCTTGATCCACTAACCTTCTACCCTGCTCCTGCGCTCTAGTTGTCTCTCACTGGATTACTGCAACCCTTTCCCCTCACTCTCCTCCAGTAGCATTCTAAATTTTGGGCCCTTCCTTTTATTTCTCAATTTTACTGCTAGCAAATGGATCTTCCTAAAGGGACCACATTTTGGCCACCTCCTCTCCTACCTGAAACCATTTCAGCAGCTTCCTAGATGTAGAATTGACCCCAGAATCCTTGATTTGTCATTCAAATGTGATAAGTTGGTAAATTCTAATTAAACTAAATGCCTTGCTCTTGACATAATATAGATTTCTTAACTGAGGTCCTCACCTCTGCTATTTCACTCTTTTTTCTTTCCTTCCTGTCATGTCTACACCTGATCCAAACTGCAAGGTTCAGTTCTAATTTCACTTAGAACTTTATATTAGCTGTGCTTTTTCTGAAGTACCATACCAACATTTTTCATTTAACAATTCCTTTCATGTTATATTAGCTCATGTCTATATCTAATACCTAGGGGCCTATATGATTTCTGAGAGTTTGTTTCATTCATCTGTGTGTAATCATTAGATATGCTATATATTACACATGTTCGGAAAATTGCTATGGAATGAATTAAATATTTTAGATGTACTTCTAAATGTTTTATTTCCCAAAATGTGATATTTCCAAAATTGTAAATTGAAAACTCAAATTGACAGTAAAATCTGCATGTCTTCTTCCTAGTGGGAATTCTAAAATAATCGAGAAAAGGGATATACTTGTCAAAGGACTTAAATATTATCAAGAAAAAATATTCTGATCTAGTGGTGATCGAGGCTCTACCCCAGAACTAGAAA